AGACCTGGGCTACTGGTGCTAAAGCTGTTGACCCACCTTTCCCCAGAGTTTCCAGTCTGCTTAGAGAGAGGGTGGTCACCTCGACCAAGGTCGTCCTCCCCTGCATCCACTACCAGCGATCGGCCAATCACATCCCATACCTGCAGCGCGGGCACCAAGGGATCAATTAGAAGGGGATTAAAAGCTGTTTGGAAATCGGATGTTGATATAGGACATCTCGGCTTTCTAAAACCTTTTTAAAGCTCAATATACTGTAGCTACCTGTGTGTGTGTGTGTGAGTGTGAGTGTGTGTGTGTTACCTTTATCTGACTGTCCTCTAGTCTAAATGAGGCTCTGCCATCTGGTCCAGCAACAATATTCCCCAGATCACCTGCATGCTGTACGACAATATTGCACGTGAGAATAATTACACATAACCACATGACACACAGTGAGTAAATAACAGTGAACCATAGAAGTAAACACACAAGGAGGATACAGCGTGACAGCCAGGAAACACTGCCTCAGACTTGTAGCTCTTTCATACACTTTATTGGAAATTTAGCACCTGGAGCACAACTGCTCAGAATGGCTCCTGTGGGACAGATTTGGCAATCTGAGAGGCGAATCTCATCTTACATTTGGCTTGTGTTGAAGTTTTATTAAATCTCAAGAGTGGTTTCGTCAGAATTTACGATAAGAGGCCCCATTATTTACTTTATGTTTTGCTCCTTGATCCTCTTAAATCTAAATTTCTGGCAAGTTGTCTCCAGAAAAATTTATATATATATACTGTACCCTTTCAGAGTCCCCTGGGCCGCCGTGTTGTCTTCCAAAGGGGTTATAGTGCTCTCCACAACTGTAAAAAGGACAAAATTGAATCTTATTTAATACAAGTTTGTTTTTAGAGCAATTTCAAAGTATAACTCTGGGTGCTGTTACTGTCCACTGTTGATAGAGTTGCATTAGGTGACGAACGGCTGGGGCACTTCTACAAAAGATGAGCAACTGTGTTAAAAATGTATCGTGTTTTTTTTTTTGGGTGATGCCTTTTACTTTGACTGCTTCTTGAAAATGTTTTAATTTGTTTGTATAATTAAAATGCATTACATTTTATAGTTTCTTTAGTAGTATTTTCTGAGACATTTCTTGATGACAAACATTGTATGCCTGTGAAATACTGGGGACAGAACTAGTTCATATACATATTAAAAGGCTTGTCAATGTATCAAAAACAAAAATGTCAAGTCATAAACCTCTGTACATAAAATGTAAGAAGAGTCGTCGACTATGACTCAATTAGTCGCCAAATATTTTGATTTTATTAATTAATTGTTGAAGTAATTTTTCATGCAAAAAAGGCAGAAAATGCTGTTTTACAACCTCTCAAATATTTTCAGCTTTTCTCCGTTTTATATAATATTAAACTAAAATTCTTTGGGTTTTGGATTGACAAGACAAGAAGTTTAAAGATCACTTTGGACTTAGAGAAACTGGGATGAACATTTTTCACTATTTCCTAACATTTTATAGACCAAACAATTAATTGATTAATCTAGAAAGTAATTGGCAGATTCATCGATAGTGAAAATAATCGTTAGTTGCAGCCCTGTATGAAATAATTCAAACTGATGGCTGTGACATAAACCTATACTAGTAAGTGTATATAGATAACCATTAACCCAGCTGTGGCCTTCTCTACACTGCACACTCAAAAATTGATGGCACACACCTAAAACTCAAAGCATACTACAAGGAACCTTTCCTGCTTTATTTTACGATTCTCCCTCTTCACAACTCCATGTTGAAGGACTTTTTTAAAATCATTTTGGATCTTGTATCAGTGCCCAGGTAGTTAAAGCTTGAAATACTGAAAAGTGCACCACTTCCAGAGCACTAAGGATGAGTCCAACTAAATAAAGTACAGTCATATACTGCTGAAACCATTAACAAGGCCAAGAAAATCTTACAGTGTGTAAGATTTTCTGACAGCAGTCCTACCTGAGGCAGTCCAGTGTGAGGTCCCCCAGGGCGTGCACATGGAGGCCGTGGGGTCCAGGCTCCAACCCATCAATGGTCCCATCGATCAAGCATCGCTGTTCGGACAGCTGCAGGAAACGCACCACACCCTGGATCGTTCCCACACCAGCCATCATGGCCACTGCTGAACCCAGATCTGTCGTAACAAAATACAGAGATCCTGCAACAGTTTATTTATGTTTATGGCTGTGAGCTCATATCAAGATACATCCAGGTTGTGTTTAGGTGTCACTGCAGTGTATACACGGAGTAAGAATGCATTACAAATGCGTCTCGAGTGAATGCCTGTCATCAGATTATGGTTCTCAGCTCACTTTTGATTTTATCTGAGGGAATCTGTGAGCTCAACAGAAACATACACAGCTATTTTTATATCAGCTGGCACACAGACTTCAAACCCTTGTCTGATATGTAGTACAGGGGCAAATCAACCATAATCAACTGTGTTTGAGAATGTACATGTACTGACTACAATGTTGTGGTCAGGGATACAAAATAGGTGCAATCACACTTCTATTTAGCATTCAACTTCTGATGTTTGTCCAGGATGTGTTTTATTACTATGCGTGAACAGCACCAGTGCCTCAACAATTGAAGCTGGAAGTCTCAATTATAAAGTATCTTTGTCTTGCAAGGAGATCAATGAGAGCAGTTTTAGTTACCTGCATTTCAGGAGACCTTTGTCTGCAATTTAGCCATCTACTAAAGGCTACATTACCGTAACATATTGTTCTTAGAAGGTTCCCTGTGGAGTTTTTGACCTCTAGTAGCACTATGGAGCTGTTTTTCTATGAGTGGGGGATGCGCATACACATGCCTGCCAATGGTTTCACACCATTCCCCTGATCTACAGGTGGTGGTAACGTGCCAAGAAGATATGCTGCGAAGTGCTTGCAAAGGCAAGGAAGAAGAAAACAGCAAGCTAGTAAACGAGGATGTAAACAATGCTGGATTTAGGATACTATTGGCTTTGCAAATATTGCATGAATGATAACCCCTACCTACATGTATTTAAACCCTAGATCTGTTTATGTGGTTGCTGTGGTTCTCTCGGAGTAATCAGTGGTCTGCAGTGTTTCCACCCCACCATCCTAGTTCAGTGTGCTAGGAGGGGTGCTAAGAGTGGTCCTGCAGGTACCATCAACAGCTTTTGACAATGGAAACTCAAAAATAACTGTTCTAATGTGTAACAAAGCAGACCACAATGAACTCAACTGCTTGGTGGAAATGGGGCCTAAACGTAAATATAGCTCTTGTTGTTTTTGTTTTTTTACTAGAAAACTCCACAGGGTACCTTTAACATGCAGAAGTAATAACTAAAAGACTTAAAAGATTCAGTTTAACTAGGAGAGGCTAGGTATAGTGCAATTTTAAATTAACATAAGAAGCCAAAGTTCTCAAACATCTGAACACATGAAGCTGTAAAATAAATGTAAATGGTCTTTAAAAACACTCAAGAAATGA